CCTACTCCCCTGTGTGTCCTTGCCTCCCACGACTAGCACTTAGTCAACTTCTAAACAGTTATGAACAAATACACGTTTATTTGTAAAGTTTAGCTACAACGACCAGCACTTAGTCAACTTCTAAACAATTATGACAAATACACGTTTATTTGTAAAGTTTAGCTACAACGACCAGCACTTAGTCAACTTCTAAACAGTTATGACAAATACACGTTTATTTGTAAAGTTTAGCTACAACGACCAGCACTTAGTCAACTTCTAAACAGTTATGACAAATACACGTTTATTTGTAAAGTTTAGCTACAACGACCAGCACTTAGTCAACTTCTAAGCAATTATGACAAATACACGTTTATTTGTAAAGTTTAGCTACAAAATTGGTTTTATAGACATTGTTGACCTCAACCTCCAGTCTTTTCTCCCCCTGACTACTGCTATTGACAGACTAATTCAGAATTAAATCAGAAGTTTAAAGTGAATCAGCTACAAACCTTCTCGTTACTGATTCGTGGTTAACGTTTTCGGTCTTTGTCTATTTAAGTATCTACTCTCTGAGAAAGGTATTTCGTGTGAATGTACACGTGAAATTTATGGTAAATTAAGGTGGGGTTAGGACGCGACTGATATATAAATAAACTTAAAAATGAATTATGATTACTATATGATAAAAACGTGAATACACGTGGAAACAATCTGCTCCCTATCTTTCCATGTGGTGGTATAGACTAGTGCTTTGGATGAGTAATAGAAAAGTTGGAGGTTAGCCTGCATTTGGCTGGTATCCTGTCCAGGAGAATTGTGCTCATACGCTTTTACCACAAGAAACTGGAGCTTGAAGACAAGGAAAAATATTTAACTAAATATATACTTCTTAGCGTAAAGATTGCGCCTGTATATTGTACTTTCCTGCTACACTACACTGTATTACACTAAAGCAACTAAACAACAAAAAGAAAAGGGGGGATAAGTAAGAGAGGCACATTTAGGCTGCAGTGAAAGTTATTCTGGACTGTCCAATAATATCAAAATTAATTTTAAAATAGCTTTAGTAACTGCGCGTAACCATGATAACCAACTAAGTTTCTGTGAATGGTTTGTAAACAAAAACCAAAAAAAACAACAAAAAAACTAGCTATTACAGCCACTAATATAAACAGCAGCATCTATTTTACAAGGATTGTTTTTTATATTTGTCTTTAATGGGTTTCATTGAATGTCTGACTAACGAAGTAAAGATATTTAAAAGTTTTAGAATATTTGAGCAACTGCCTTTATATGTATAAGCGTGTGCTTAGTAAAATATAAGCCAAGTAAAAAGTCTTACTATAAATGCGATAGAGATTAATAAACATGCTTGTCTTAAGTATGTAATCTCGAAAGACTAAATTGATCCTAAATTCCGTTTATCGCTGAATTTTGTAAAAATATAAAATTATGTATAAAAACTGTATAGAACTAATTTCCAATAATTCACAGGAAAAAGTGAAATTTCGATGGAAAGTGGGGCTGGGTATGGCCTATTAGTTTGCGTGCCGGTCTATGAATCTAAGTGTCCATGGTTCGCGTCTCGTTGCCACAAAATCGCGTTCCACACTTTTGGGTCTCAGGTGCGTTATAAGAGCGACGGTCAGATCCCACTTTCGATTAAAATAGCTAGAGAATTGATGGTGGGTGCCGTTGACTAGCTGCCTTCCCTCTAGTCTATCAGTTCATAACTAAGGACGGCTAGTGCAGGTAGACCTTGTGTAGTTTTGAGCAAATATCCAAAACCATGGCCAGGTGGTTAAGGCACTCGACTCGCAATCTGAGGGTCGCGGGTTCGAATCCCTGTCACACCAAACATGCTCGCCCTTTCAGCCGTGGGGGCGTTATAATGTGACGGTCAATCCCACTATTCGTTGGTAAAA